GTACTCTAGGATCTCCAAAATGTGATTTCAACCAGGCTTATCTGGTTGAAACCCTCTGCAAAAACTACTCTAGATTTTTTATCCCATGAATATGCCATGCTTAACTACATGGCTTTGTCTGGTTCTGATTTCCCATTCCTGAAATGTCTTTTCCATTCTTTGCCATCTGTTCAAATCCTATTCATTCTCCCAAAGTCCAGATCAATGATGGCCTTTACTGAATTTTCTCTAGTCATTTCAACCCATGTGAAAGGTTCACTCATAAGTGTCTGATCTAAGCACTGTAAGTCTACACTATTCATTTTAGCACTTAATCAAATAGTATCCTATACCTTTATTATTAACTAAAATATATTTTTCTTGTCTCTCTAAAATAATTATCTATGATGAAGGAAAAGACTGTGCTCTATGCCTCTTTTACTTCATACTAGCATCTAATAATATAGTAGCGAATAGAGAGTAGATACTAGTACACTTCACTTAAATGAAAAAAAAAGAACAAAAATGACAGTAAACAGCATTTTTATCACCTGAACAACCTGGCTTTATAGCATGAGAGAAACAATAAAGGAGTAAAGGAAGAGATTTCCAAGTGAAATAGGGAAAGCATTCTTTTGGCATAGGAAACGGGGCATTCCAATCCAGAGAACTGAATGGGTTTTGTGAGAGGGAGACAGCAAGTGGCCAGTAAAAATGGCCATAAAGATAAAGAGTGAAAATTCTGTTTAAAAAGTGAGAAACAAGAGGCATGTATCTAGGAAGAAGGTCTAAACTTAGGTAAGCAAGGTTGAAGCGTGGGGAGAGTAAAGGAAAGAGTTCTGTATATGCTTCAGGGTTAATTTAAATGTTCCTTTCTGGAAAAATTAAACTTTAAAATTAATCCTGGACTCTGAAGTTCAATTAAAAAATATAAACCCTGAGTACAGGGTCTTGCCTAATCTTACACATCCAGAAAAGTAATTACAATGAGAATGACACACATGAAGAATCTATTCATAACACAGGGCCTGTTACACAGAAGGCACTCAAATGTGGAACAAAAGCCAACTAAGATCCACATATAACTAAGCTCTGGTTATATGTATTTCTTACCTTTGTCTTCTCCCTGCTCACCAATAACCCACACATCTTTGCCTGAAGTCTGTGCCTTCAAAACATTTGTAATAATATATTGTAATCTCAGTGAATCTAGATTACATCCAATTCCAATCACTTGATTTTCAGGAAATGCACTCAGTTTCCATGTCACGTAGGTCATGATTTCCACTAAATACAAGCATACAAGGTGAAAATGTAAAGATTTTAAAAATATATACTTCTTGTCAAGTTCACAAACAAAATATTTATTACTTTAATAACTAAAGAATATTAGAGTTTCTACTCTTCTTAGATCCTAAATGCACTGAAGAGTAATGTATTTTAATGTATATTAAAAAACTAACCAGGTTTCAACAGATTTTACATAACTGTGGTTAAATATAAATTGCTAGGGG